GTCTGTATTGATTAGATCCCTAGCCTTTGGTACTGCCTCTTGTTCTTTTTTTTGTGGTGAATTTTTCCGCCTTGTCATTTTGTCCAGATAAGAGTAGATGAAGGAGCAAGTAAAATACTAAAAGGGTTGCAACAACCCCAGGAAAATATGCTTTAGCCAAATCAGAAGAGATCCCAAATCATGAGGGGGAGAAAGGGGATAAAAAGAGGTTCAGAAAGAAGAAAAAGAAAAAAAAAAAAGAAGAAAAAAAAAAGGAAGAAACAATTAAAAAAAGAAAACCAATAAAGAAAAATATATAAAAAGGAAAAAAATATATATATATTAGATAAACTAGTTAAAAAATGTTAAAAAAGAAAAGGGTAAAAGTTAAAAAAATTTAGCAGAAGAAGAAAAATAAATTGAAAAAGAAAAAAAATTAAATTAACTGCAAGGCTAAAGAATCATGGGGAGAAAGCCATGAGTTCCGTGCTTTGCTTTCTCCTCCTTTGGAATTACGCTGCTCTCCTTGGTATTGAAACTGTCCTCCTTGGTAGGTGAACTTGATCCTGGCTGGGCTTCTTGTTGATCTTCTCGGGGAGGGGCCTGTTGTAGTGATTCTCAAGTGTCTTTGCCCCGGGCGGAGTTGCACCGCCCTTACCAGGGGCCGGTCTGAGTAATCCGCTTGGGTTTGCTTTCGGGAGCTTTTGTTCCCTGAGCGCTTTCCGTAGAGTTCCGGAGGGTGGGAATGAAGATGGCGGCCTCCCAGTCTCCGGCCCGGAGGAGCCGAGAGCCCGGGGCCCCACTCCTCAGTGCGCCCTCAGAGAACAGCGCCGATTTACTCCCGTCACCCTGCCTCCGGCCGCGCTCCGAGCTGACCGAGCCTGCGACCGGTTCAAGGTAACCCCGAGCTGAGAGTCACTCCTCGGCTCTGTCTCTGTAGCCGGCTTCCCTGTTCTAATACCTGTAAGCTCTGCGACACTCAGACGCCCCCGATCCTTCTGTGACCCTGCGGGACCTGAGGCCACGCTGACCCTGCGTGGGCTTCACCCCGGTTAAGCCTCTGGAGCGATGTCCCTCAGCGGAACAGACTTTTAAAAGTCCCGATTTTGTGCTCCGTTGCTCCGCCGCTTGCCGGGAGCCGGCCCCTCCCCCCGCGGTCTATCTTCCCGTCGCTTTGGATTCACTTCTCCGCCAGTCCTACCTTTCAGAAAGTGGTTGATTTTCTGTTTCTAGAGTTGCTGTTCTTCTTCTCTTCGATCTCCCGTTGGATTTGTAGGTGTTTGCAATCTTTAGATAAGCTATCTAGCTGATCTCCCGCTACCTGAAGTAGTCTCAGCCTGCTACTTCTCCGCCATCTTGACTCCTCCCTCCTTTCAGTTTTTTAAAATATATCACGCTACTGTCTTCCCTGTCTTGCAAAGTTTCTCCTGAAAAATCAGCTGATTGCCTTATGGGGTTTCCCTTGTATGTGACTTTTTACTTCTTTCTTGCTCCTTTTCTCTATCTCCAGCCTTTAACATTTTAATTACTATGTGTCACAGTATGGACCTCCTTTATGTAACCAGCAGTGAAGCATGGTATTTTTAAAAGTAACATTTATTGGGGCACCTGGGTGGCTCAGTGGGTTAAAGCCTCTGCCTTCTGCTCAAGTCATGATCTCAGGGTCCTGGGATTGAGCCTTGCCTCAGGCTCTTTGCTCAGCAGGGAGTCTGCTCCCCACCCCCCCGCCCTCCGCCTACTTGTGATCTCTGTCAAATGAATAAATAAAATCTTAAAAAGTAACATTTATCCATAAGGGAAAAATGGTAATACCATCAAAAAATGAGATACCAAGAAATACAAATCCAACAAAAGATATGGACAAAAGATATGGGAGACAATTTAAAAAAACTAAATAGAGGGAGAACTATGCCATGTCCATGAATTAAAAGATTCTCAGTATGGTAAAGCTGTGAATTCTCCCAAAATGATCTTTACACTTAGTGTCCTTCTCAAAAATCCCAGTGGGATATAGTGTATGCAGTTACTACTATACAGTAATTAATGTTAATTAACTGGAGAAGTGCAGATGACTCTTACAAACAATATGAAATGAAAGAAGAATGTCACAGAAGGAAAATACAGTATAAAGCTGTATTGTTTAGGGGTGCCTGGGTGACTCAGTTGGTTAAGCATCTGCCTTCGACTCAGGTCACGATCCCAGGGTCCTGGGATTGAGCCGAATGTCAGGCTCCTGACTTAGTGGGAAGCCTGTTTCTCCATCTCCCTCTGCTCATCCCCTTGCTCATGCTGTCTCACTCTCTCTCAAATAAATAAAATCTTCAAAAAAAATTTTTAAAACTCTCTCTTCCTCTCCCTCTGTACATCCCCACTGCCCACTCTCACACTCTATTTCAAAAAAACAAAAACTGTATTGCTTAGGCATGTGGTCATAGGTTGTAAGACTATAAAAGGAAATGCAGAGAATGATTACCATGAAAATCAGGATAGTGGCTGCATTTACACAGAGGGATGAAGGATGTCATCAGAGAGGGTTATGCTTTCATAGTGTGGGCAGTGTTTCATTTCTTGACCTAGATGGTAATTACTTGGATGTCACTTTGTGATTATTCTTTAAACTGTAAATATATTTGATGAAAATAAAAAATTAAGGAGCTAGACTAAAGAATTTGAAATGGATTTAGGTACATACTGAGAATAAATCCATTATACTGTTATTGGTGGTTGTATCATAATGTTGAATTAACTTGAATGATTTAGAATACTCCATCCAGAGAGAAAATTTAATTTACAAGAACTTTTTAAGAGACTGCCAGGAATTTGCTAGCCAGTTTACCAGAATCTACTAGCATATAATTTAATATGAGGCAAATTCTGCTCTTACTATGTTCAGGAAGATCATTACTGGATTAACCACAAAAAAAAAATCCATCTGTAACATTAACAGCTAACATTATTTACCACTTTTGAGCACTTGCCATATAGCAAATATTGGTGAAGCATTATAAATGCATTATCTATTTAATCCTGGAAACTCATAACTGTGGGCACCATAACGGTCCCCATTTTACACACAGGTAAAGGGCAGAATCAGGTTTTGATCCTCATGTCTTGTTCTTAGACCCTGTAATCCTTACTTGAGGCTAGGGTATCTAAGAGTGTATATGTTATTATTGTTACAGATACTCATTTATTCTAATTGGTTATGATTTGGGTATTCAAATTTGTGTTCAGCAGCAGATGTCAGCTAAATGCCAGGCATTTCTATGGCCCCTATCTACTGGATCTTTTGCTCTGTTTAGCAGCTTGGACCCTGTGCCACATGTGTTTGCTGGTGTCTTTCTGCCTTGGAGCCTAGTATATTGTGATATATCAAGTATCACCAAACTTAATCTTTTTTTGTTATATGCATCACCCAAACTACATATTAAGCTGCTTTCTTGGGCTGCAGTACTGGAAATTACCTCTTGGAGCAGCTCTTTTAACTCCCTTTCAAGAATGGACATTAATCTAGAAGGCATTATCAGAGGTATTGAGTCTTTTTATGGATAGGGAAAATGATAGCCCTCTATATCCTGCCATATACTCTATCAAATGAGTCCTATTCATTTATAATCAAATGGTGATGGCAGTCATTTCTATAAAATGTTAGGCATTATGCTCTTCATAAAAAATATAACCCTTACTGGGGCACCTGGGTGGTTCAGTGGGTTAAGCCTCTACCTTCAGCTCAGGTCATGATCTCAGGGTCCTGGGATCGAGCCCCACATCGGGCTCTCTACACAGCGGGGAGCCTGCTTCCCCCTCTCTCTCTGCCTGTTTCTCTGCCTACTTGTGATCTCTCTCTCTCTCTCTGTTGAATAAATCAATAAAATCTTAAAAAATATATATATATAACCCTTACTTATTGCCAACTTTATTATTTTGACTTAGAGTGAGTTTTTCAGGAGCTTAAACTTCTGTCTGTAGTTTTAACACCTCCCAGTGGATCCAAAGGAAACTGATAGCCAAGGTGTAAGGAAGAGAAGCTGGACTGGTTCTCTCTGCCCTTTATACAAGATTCATGTTTTCTTTCCTTTGTTTTTTTAAAGGAAATTATCAAAGGAAATATGTCTGAAGTTTAATTTTATTATTGCTTTACTATCTGAAAACTAGGACTACAGGCTTGGGTCCAATAAAATCCAGTTTCCTTTATCCTTACTTGCTGCTACATAAATTGATGGTGGTTATAGATGACCAGCTTTATACAATAGTAGAAAAAGAAGATATATAAAACCAGAAATGACTATTTTTGGCCATGAGGAAAGCTCTTGCACATATATAAAAATTTTTCACAAGTTTAAAAATACTATTTATAATGTTCTTTTGGTTCCTTTAAAATTTCTGAGACAAAGTGAAGTCCAAGGACATTGTTAAATTGACTAATGAGATTTGATTTGTGTATGCATTCTTTTATCTACAAGGACAGTTTTCAAAGTGTGGTCTTGGGATTTGAGACCCTTCCAGGATCTCTGTGGGTGAAAAATTATTTTAAAAATATTGAGATGTGATTTGTCTCTATTACTCTTTCTCTCATGAGTGTAGAGTCTTCCAAACCACATGGCATGTGATGTTACAACAACCTATACACAAAGCCCTTATGAGAATTTTTGTCCTCTATTAAAGCAGACATTAAAGACATTTGAAAAAATAAAACAATGCCTCACTTTTTATTATCTAGCTAATGTAGATTTTTCATATTAAGAGTATAATTTACATTTTTTAGAAAGCCTATTGCAGCATGTTAAATAAATGAATTAATGTTTTTTCACTATTCAGTTTTAATTTCAGATATGGTATTATTGGTAACCTACAACCCATATGTATGAAAGGTCTTTAGGGCCCTCAGTAATTTTTAAATGTCTAAAGGGATCTTGAGACCAAAAATTTAGCCAATGATTTATATGATCTTTTTCTCAAATACTTGAACTTTTCCTTTGTTTTATCCTATAAAAGGTGAACTGAAAATCATCTATTTTTAGGTTGCTACAGACCTCAGGAAAGATCAGATTACTTGATGTTGGCAGCTGCTTTAACCCATTTCTGAAGTTTGAAGAATTTCTAACTGTTGGCATAGACATTGTACCTGCTGTAGAGGTATGCATAGTTCTGTTTTGTTTTGAAGATCTTACCAAGGAAAAGCATTGTCTTTACAGTCCTAAAAGAACAAGTGTGTTTTCTATGAAAAAGTTGGTAAGAAATTTCTGTTCAGAAGCAAATAAATATTCCATGAAAATTTTTGAGCATTTAGTTAACAAATATGGTACTGGTCAAATAATACTGGTTTTTATTTGTTTCCTGTTTATCTTTTGTTGTAATCAGAGACTTTAGTAGATTGCAGTGATTTCCAGATAGCTTTAAGATTTGGGCTTTTTGTTTGTTTGAGGTATCTTTTTCTGAAGTGTACTGTGATGTAGAGCCATTAAGGAATAATATCAAGAGCAGGGGCTTTTGATACAGTTAAAACTTTATGAAATCCCAGCTATTTGTACTTAGTAGATGAAACTACTTAAATGTTTCCTCTGCTTTTAAAATTAGATTATTTTTCTTAATGACAAATTCATGTTTGCCATTTACTTTTCATAAAGCATTAGGCACCAAAATTTTTCATAAATTGCATTTTTAATGTTATAAAGAGAATGTGTTACAGTGTAAATTTTTTACCCTGCTGCTATATTCCTAGCACTGAGAAGAGTGCCTAGAACATACTCATTAACGACATCATGAATAAAAGAATAGAATCTTATTTCAACCTGGGGTTGTAACTCTGAAGCAGTTTTCTTATCCTTGTGATGGGGTTAATAATAGACTGTATTTCATAGGACAGTTGTAATGTCTAGTTAAGAAGTAATTAAAATAGTACAGTGTCTGTTACATAGAGAGTGTTAAAGAAATGTTTACCATTATTATTGAAAAGTTCCAGAGATTGAACTTTCATATGAATCCTTTGAATTTTGATGACAAAATGCTAACAAACCATTACCATTATCTCTACTTCTGAAAGGTGGACAGATGTTTGCTTTATGGTAAAATAGCTGTTTTTAGCTTGTCACTGCAAAGAATTCCTGTGCCATCAGGACCTATACTTTAAAATGCATTTGGCTTTGTACATGGATTTTCTCCCTTCCTCAAAAAACACATTAGAGATATCCTTTAGGGACTGCTGAAATGTGATAACCATTTGATCTAAACTTTGGGCTCAAATAAATACTAAACTTGTTTATATAGAGAGCCATGAACTTTAAAGTAATTGGGAAAGGCAAAAGAACTGCTATATATAAGTTCAGTAATAGAATCAGACTTTCACTTCCAGGCAAAATGGAGTAACAAGGATCAGATTGTTCTTTCCCCCCTACCTAAAGCAACAGAAAGTGGACAAAATATAAGTAATTTACAAGACATTGAATATCAGGTGATAAAGAACAGTGATCACTGAAAACAAGTGAGTTGAGCACTACTCTTGCACCAGCATTTGCCCTTCAGAGAGTTTCTAGGGTATGACACAGAGAGGGAATCCCAGGTATAGTCCAACTGATTCTGAGCTGAGAGCACTAAACATAGATGGCTAGGGTCCAGAGAACACAGTACCAGTTATGTGATAGCTGCACAGAGGGAGAACTCTGGAGTTCGGAGGGCAAAGATGAGGACTCAGCTGAGTACTGGTCACTACATTACATGTGTGAGAAAACTACACGAGACTCAAACTGCACTAGAAAGGAGTGGAGGTTATAGTGCCTGGCACTCAACATAGGATGAAAATAGTACCTATTCCCATCAGGCATACTGGAAACCTAAACAATCACAGTGCCTTAAGTAGAGTATACAGAAGAGTCTTACCTGAGTACTGGAAAATATTTAGCCTTAAACTAAACCATGGTCCAGTCCCACCAAAATAAATCTCAGAAGACCCAAAAAGATTAGTGTCTCCAGGTAACTTAACTACATCCCAGAACAAAGCTCAAGAATATTCATAGCAATACAATGCCATCCAATGCCCAAAAAGGTAAAAATCCACGTTAGACATCCAATAAGAAATGATAAGCTATGATCAACAAAGACCAACCCTGAACTGACACAGATGTTAAAATTAGGAAACAAGGACATTAAAATAGGCACAGGATGACTGTATTCTGTATGTACAAAAAGTTTAGAGACATAGAACATACTTAAAAATACCAAATCTAACTTCCAGAGACTTCATACTACCATGTAGGACATGAAGTACATACTAGATGGAATTAAGGCATGTTAGATATTGCAGAAGAAAAATTAAATTGAAGACATGACAACAGAAACCATCCGAAATTAAATACAAAAAGAATTTTTTTTTAAAGATTTTATTTATTTATTTGACAGACAGAGATCACAAGTAGACAGAGAGGCAGGCAGAGAGAGGGAAGCAGGCTCCCTGTTGAGCAGAGAGCCCGATGTGGGACTTGATCCCAGGACCCTGAGATCATGACCCAAGCCGAAGGCAGCGGCCTAACCCACTGAGCCACCCAGGTGCCCAATACAAAAAGAATTTAAGCTGGAAGAACATCAGTGAGCAATGAGATAATATCAAGTGGCCAAATACAGGCATAACTGTAGTCCCTCCCACAAGGCAGGGAGATTAAAGAAATAATGGCCCAAAATTTTCCAGACTTGATAAAAAGCTATAAATATACAAATCCAAGAAGCTCAACAAACCCACAGCACAAGAAAGATTACACCAAGGCACATGGTAACCAACCCCCCCCCAACACATAACACAAAATCAAAACACAGTGATAAAGAGAAATTCTTAAAAGCAACCAGATTTTTTTAAAGGGCATGTTAAAATAGTGAAGGATAATAATTTGTCACCAAGCAAAAATATCTTTCAAAAATAAAAACAAAATATTTTTCATGCATTCAAAAGCTTTAGGGATTCAACATCAGCCAGTTTACATTTCAAGAAATGTTAAGGAAGAAGTGCTTCAACCAGGTGCAAATATAGATCTACACAAAATGATGAAGAATACAGGAAGTGATAACTACAAAGTTGTTAGAAATGCAGTTTTTTAAATTAAACTCTCTGAAAGACACCGGACCGTTATTATGGGTTGAATTCTGTCCTGTTCCTCCTTGAAAAGATATGTGGAGTCCTAACTTTCGGTGTGTTACTTTATTTGGAGATAGGGTCTTTACAGAGATAATCAAGTTAAAATGAGGTTAGTAGGTGGGGTGGGGCCTAATTCAGTATGATTGTAATGTTATAAAAAGAAATTCTGGCTTAGAAACACAAATACAGGGAAAATGTCATGTGAAGGCAGAGGGGTGATGGTTCTAGTAAGCCAAAGAACACGAAGCTTGCCAACAACCAGTAGTTAGAATAAAGGCATGAACAGATTTTCCTTCACAGCCCTCAAAATGACCAACCCTGTAGACACCTTGATCTCAGACTTTTAGCCTTTAGAACTGTGACAAAATACATTTCTGTTTAAGCCATCCAGTTTACAGTATTGTGTTACAGCGGTCTTTGCAAACTAATACATCCATTTAAACAAGAATAATATGGAGTGTGGTTTATAAGTTTAAAAAAAAAAAGTCTGACAATAATAGCACAAAGGATGAAATTAGAGAAGGAAAATATACTATTTTTAGGTTTTTATATTAAAGTGGTGAAATACTTGAAGGTAGATTATTAAAGATATATACATTAAATCCTAAAGCAATCACTGAAATGACAAGAGTTAAAGCTAATAAGCCAATGGGGTGATAAGATAAAATCATAAATTTATTTAATTCAAAAGATGGAAGAAAGAGATCAAAGGCTATAATGAAGAGGGGACAAAGTAAAAAGGAATTACAGACCTAAACCTCAGTATATCAATAATTACATTAAATAGGCTGCAAACTTGATCTCCTGGCTGTGGCCAAGGGAGCATGTATTCCTTCTGTGGCACTGTAATAGTCAGTGTCCCCAAAAAGGAGCTCATACCCCCTGTCTGGCATTTCAGTTTTTGCAACTACTGCCAGGGTATATCTTTGCATCCCTGGCTCTGTTGGCCAGTAAGTCTTACACTTATGGGTCCCACAGAACTGTAATCAGTGAAGAAAATTCCTTAACAGCTGTGCGGGGGGCACAGCATGAGGCATCAGACCAAGGAGCTCTGTCTTACAGTGAAGGAAAATTGTTAGGTAATCATCACAACTACAGCCTGAGTGGCAGACTTCTAATTAAACATATATCTTGGGGCTGACTGTAATCCTTTCCAGAGATTTTTATGGGTGGGCCCTATCTTTGAGCTCACTCTCTGCTGTGCTCCCAAATGCCAGTGTCTCCTGGAGGGGAGCTGTACACACATCTGGTGCCCTAGTTTGTGTAGATGCCTTCAGGGATCACCCCTTGCTCACCTGGCTCTCGTGGCAGGGACGAGGAGTGGAGGGCTAGCATTCTTGGATCCCATGGGACAATGGCACTTGGAGAGATTGTTCTGAGCAGACTAGCAGGCTACCACCCCCCAGGGCACTGCACAGATAGCAGACTGAGGAACACTGCCCAGTCTTTCTGTGAGGGAGGCATCCTTGCTTGGTCTGGTTGGCTTTAGGGACCTCCTTCAAGCTTGGCACACGTTCAGTGTCTTACAAATCTGCTCCCAAGGCACATAGGCTGAGGACACCATCTTGCATTTTCCATCTGCCTTGCTCCATCTCATTACTATCACCCAGGAAAGACCCTATACACTTGCCTGGAGCCCTGATTGCTTTGCCACCCAGGGGATACCTCCAGATGGCCTGCTTCTCAGTGAAGCCTTACACTTGTTGTCCCACAGGACTGTAATATATTTACATACTTTTTAAAAGCTGAAGCCTGGAGGTCTGGCTTCCAGTCAGCCTGAGTCTAGGTGCTGACATCATCCCCTACAAGGACACTGACAGGTCTTGGCATATCCTCAACTACTGGAAGCTATTAAAAATGTAATAGCCTGCTTGGACAAGCATAAAGGTTTGAAAGACAACCAAGAACTGAGACAGAGTTGAATAACAAGTTTCATCTCCTACATGAGGCCACTCCTTCAAAACTGGAAGAGGCTTTGGTGTCATCTGCTATATAGAAACCAACACAGAGAGTC